GTGTATCCCCCCCCCCCCCCGCACACCGCGACTAAAAGTTAAGACGATCCTGATATACATTTCAGATTACAGGTAAAAGATTCCACTAGATGCGCCTTTCACTAACTTAAGCTGGAGAGCTCAAAATTTTCATTTCTCCACATCTTATCAAGTCAAGAATTATGATACTTTGCTTAGTCTAGTAAACACCCAAAAGGAGAAAAAAACATTATTGATGGTGGGCCAAAAGCAATTATCTTCTAGACTATGAGATTTAAGAATATTCGCATCAACACACACAATATGTCTCAAGCAAAGTAAGTCAAACACGAAAGAGAGGACCAGAAAATAAAGCAGTGATTAATAATCATGAAGCTTATGTGCACTATTTCCAGTGGAATGCTGCCTAAACCTCAAGATAATCATCGAAGACTCTAAGAAAATAGCATTCACTCCACACATAAAAACCAGAGAATAACTACCATCCGCCACTTTCGATACTAAAACAGAACGTTTGATAACAGACTAAAAAAAACAACCTTTACATTCTGAAACAAAGTAAAACAAACATCAACAAAATCAATCAATACTTTAAAATCTACAGAACATAAAAACCACAGTAAAGATATATGCTTTCACACGTTCCTATGATCCTATCTATGCCACCACAATCTCTCTCAGACACCTAAGCAAACCTACGCAAGTCAACAAAAATGTAGTACCTTTAACGTGTTGATGATGAGCGGAAGCAGCAGCAATCTTAGCCTCATGAGCTTCATCATCCTCCCCATCATCATCCCTCCCCGCTTTAACCGTAACAATAGCTTCCTTCGTCCCTCCATCACCACCAGATAGAGCATTGGGAGTCCCATCACGATCATCAGGATATCTAACAACAACAACAGGACAAACACAATGATGAACACAATAATCACTAACAGACCCCAACTTCCCATCACTCCCTCTCTTCTTCTCTGCACCAAACCCTCTACTCCCCATTATCACCGCACTCAGCCCAAGCCTCTCTATCTCAAGACACAGCCTCTCCCTCATGTCGTGATCCTTCACTATCTGGATCTTGTGAGGGAACCCCGCCTCCTTCAACGGCCTCGCCAGATCCGAGACCTTGGAGGAAGTGAAGGCGTCGAAGTCTTCCTGGGAAGGGGAGTGGAGAGGGAGCGGGCCCCAGTCGGCGCCGAAGAGGACGGAGGTGGGGGACACGTGGAGGATCACGACGGCGTCGCCGGGGCGGATGTAGTGATCCACGGCCCAGCGGACGGCGAAGGAGCTTTCGGAGGAGAGGTCGACGGCGACGCCGATTTTGCGGCGGGCGCCGGCGGTGGGGGTGGGGGTGGCGGCGGAGGGGGTGGAGGAGGAGTTGTGGTGGGAGTGGGAGTGGCGTGGGGAGGATGGGTGGTGGATCTTGATGGTTGGGAGGTGTGGGTGATCGGATTCTGTTGGGTTCATTGCTTTCTCAAAATCAATTTTTAGAAAGTTTTGATTTTTTTTTTCTTTTTCTGTTTCAATCGAAGAAGGAGAAGAAGAGAAGAGTGTTTGTATTTAAAATTAATTAAATGTGTTTTATTTAATGCTAATTGTTGGATAATTGGATAAGTTGAGTTTATTTAATACGAGTAGGAACGTGCCGAGCAGGTGCTCTGAGTGAGGAGGAAGTTCAGGGAATACAGTTTGTTTGTTTTTTTAATGGGCCGTGATTTTTATATTAGAGGCCCGATATGTTGTGTTTTGGTGGAAAAAGGTTTTACTTTTGTGTCTAGAGATATGTCAAAACGCATGCATTGTGAAACTTTAGATTGCTGTTTAACTATTTGTAATTGTAATGCATGGATCTTTAAGAATAACTATGTTTCTCAATGCGCACGCAAATCTACCATAAACGATGTTGATTGTATGTGTATAGCATTCAAAGACAGACAAATTTACATGTATATAACCTATTATACTCAAATAGACTGCAAAATTTCAATAGGTTTTTGCATAGAACTTGCAATAGTAATAAGTTAACATATTCTGAAAATCCTACCTTATCAGAAGTATGGCACCATTTAAAAATCATTGATAACCATCGGATCAAGGTCTTAAACTAGTTGTCTGGTGTGTTTTAGATTTCGTACTTTTCTATAGATGAATAAATAAACGTATTGAAAGCAGACAACATCCGATATGTATTTGGAGCTTTTTAAAACTAATACTACCTTATTTGTTTGAATAGCAAACACTTTTACATATATTGTAGACCGGAAACAAAGATGTACAGCCTACATTTTATGCAATATCATAGTGAAGAACTATAATGAAAGAGCAATTTGATATTTTGCTTATCTCATCAAATTAACAAGAAAATCAGATAACTAACATATGTACTTAAACCAAGGATTAGGTGATAACATGAATCATGACAGCATCATTGCCTAACTAAAGAACACACAAAAATGGATCCAAGCCCCAAGAGATCTGACACAGCTTTTGAGAGAGAGAGAGAAAGTAGAGAAGTTTCATGACACACAAGGAAGACAACAAAGAACATATGTCTGAGTGCTTAGGTTAGAATCTCATAATAAAACAACCAAAAGGGCAATCAATTAAAAAGCTGAATCTTTCTTTGATTCAGCCTTCAGATGCATACACCAAAAAAAGTTTTTTTTCCCTTCTGTTTCATTATAACAAAAGTAAAAGACGATTTGTTTAACATTTTATAGAAAGAGAAAGAGCAAAAATTTAAGAACATTTAAAGCTTCAAGGACAAATCGATTTTAGGACTGCAATCACCTACTGATGTAGCCACTGGGAATGATTTTCCTTGGAAATCATCGTATTTCCTCGGGAAAAACTCGAATTCCTTCACACCTCTTGTCCCGTTCCTAGGGTTTATGCTACCAAACTCCTCCATTGATCCCTAAAAACTCCACCATTAATTAATACACCAATTAAAATCAACAACTATATGTAACATACACATTTATATAAATATGTACAAATTAAGTGGACTTAGTACCGTGAGATTTGTCGTCTCGTTGAAGTACGGATTCATGGAAGCAGAAACTGGAGCTGATCTGGCGATTCTCTGATCATAAAAGAAGCCTTGGCTCCTCTGATCTGGTGGAAGAAGCTCATCGTAGCCGTTCATTGGAGGAGGATGAGGAATCATCATTGTGTATTTCGAAAACCCACCACCGTTGGATCTTACCACATTTTGATCTCCCTCCAAACGTTTCTTCTACAAATAATAAAACAAAACCCTTAAAAATCTCAAAACCATAGCTTAAAATCAAACATTATTAAAATCTCTTAGATGAAAAAAAAGAACAAACCTTGAAACAAGTGTCACAGTGATTATTCGAGGCGTTATACATTTGAGGGTTTGGGATTGAAGAGAGCTCATGAGTAGATGTCTCAACAAAACCCCATGGAGAACAAACCGGGTCGATCACGATCTGACCCGACCCAGCTCCACCGCAAAGGAACCTACTTCGAGTATACCCTCCGAGAGACGTGTTTGTAGGTCCACCACCGTAGCTTGGAAAGCCTTGCAGGACAACACCACGGTCGGGGAAACGAGTAGCGCTGTTAGGGCTCGCTGCTGACGTGTCTCCCTCTCCTCCTCCTGCGGTGACGACGACCGTTTTCTTCTTCTCTTCTTCAGCTATGAACCTCTCGAGCTTAGCCACACCCATTCCTCTCAGAGTCGGTTTCTTCTGGTTTTGCTGACCAGTCTTTGACCCAGGTTTCCGACCACGGCTCTTCCTTGGCGGTTCTGTCCGGATCTCGCCGTTGACGAGGTAAGTGTTTCTGAGGGAGTTTTGGTCTGTCGACATGAAGGAGAGAGAAGAGTTTTGGTCTGTAGACATGAAGGAGAGAGAAGTCGCCATTGATGATGATCACTACTGAGAGCTTTCTTGTTAGAGAGAGAAGTGAAAGTGAAGAGAGAAAAAATAGGCAAATAGGTTTAAGTGTGTGGATCTTTTTTCTGCTCTCTCTCTCTCTCTTTAATGTGTCTTGTGTATATCTCTTTTTTTTATTTCTTTGTTCATAATATACTTAAGCAAGTAAAGTACTTACTTTTGTCTTTTATTTTTCTGTTATTTCCAGGTACTATATGAGGATAAACGTATCTTTTTTTTCTTCTTTTACCTTTTTAACTTACCCTCAGATTAAAGCTTTTCAAATTCCCAAAGATAAGGTTGAATATATTACGGAGTAGTTCTTAATCGAAGATTTTCTTTTAACTACCGTCGTACTTTTGATGGTTAAACGAGGTATAATTTTATTCCTTTTGCACTTGCAAGCGTTTCTAAACTTACGTGTGTAGATTTATGTTACATGTGTCCGTAACTGGGTTTAGTTCATTACCTTTGATTTTAATCATGGAAACGAATAACTAAAATAAGTATGAGAGAGACTTCGTAACTGATAATTATGTTGAAAAACGAATGTATGATTGATTGATGCTATGCATGCATTGGGTTGAGAAGGAATAAATTCCACAAAATAGTATGGTATTTAGCACTAATCTTGACTTTTTGTTCCCTATTAAACGGTGCATCCCTCTTTCGATAATCCTCAATTCCTCACTTGTTTCTAATTAATCTATTGACCTACCTCTATTTAGAATTGTAACAAACTAACTACATATAGAATATAGTGTATATTTAATTAATACTATACACACTAGTACTTTGTGATGAGTATGATTAATTTGTGATATACTAATATATAACGAAAAATAGGCAATTTTAAGGAATTGAAATGCATAACGAAATTAGATAAAGAAGGGCATTTAAATCTTCTATTTTTCAAAGATTTCGAACCTTTTTTTGTCGGCTAAAAAGTTTCAACCTTTTATCTGCTTATTTCTTAAATATTTCTAGTTCTTATATTTTGTCACTGTAATATTTCTTGTTATTAGGTAATATTTGATATTCCAAAAACTGCTGCCGTAGAGACATCATATCAGAGATTGAGATTGATGCAAGACTCAGTCGTGACTTGTGAACCACGCTCCAATAGAAACAGAGCGTATTCTACACGATGAGAATATAAAACCCGCGGAGAAAACACATGTGTCTAGACATGAGACCATTCGCCGATTGTAGCGAGCAATGTCTGAAACAACGTGATTTTACTCAGCCTTATATCATCTAAAATGAGCAAGTCGAGTTACAGGCGCAGTTCTATTTATTCTTTTTATTCAAAAGTATATCTTTATTTTAGTTTGGAAAAATATAAGATTATTAAGACTTAAGAGTATAAGCTCACAAGTTAATTTGGATTGCATTTTACATCTTACAAGAAACTTTGGAAATGTTTATATGCAAAATGTGTATATATTCATTAACTTGAGATTGTATTTTACATTTTTGGCTTGTATGAATTAGAAAATTTGACTTTTTAGCCTATAAAAAGTTGACGTGGTGATATTTATTGCTAATTTGCTTCACATGAGAAGATAGAACAGTAAAGCAAAGAGAATTGCAAGTGACGTGAAATACGAGAAGGGATCGGGCTAGGTAGTAGAGTCGAAATGATGGCTGCATCATAAAAGGAAACATTTTAAAGCTGACTCCAGGTTAAATTTTGCTCCAGCCCAACACCTACAGTTAGAAAGTTATAATTATTTGAAATTATTTTGTTTTGTTGACTATATATTTTCTATATTAATCTTAAGAGAACCCATCTGAAATCACTGCAAATCACATGATGTTATTACAAATACAAGCCTAACATTTGGAAGAAGACCAATACGCAAATTATTCATGCAAACCTTTTTTTGCGCTCAGAATGATCTGTTACAACTCGATAAGATAACATGAAAAGTAAAATGTGGAATATTTGAAAAAGATCCAAACCGCGTGACCAACCCAACATATCTACACTGTTCCTATAAGCATAGAATGGGAGGCGAGATAATAAACAACAACAGGGAGAGAGAACATAAATTATCCAATGCAGTTTAGCTTGACTTCCGAAGTGTGTTGTACCTAGTGATTAATTAACAGCTGATCACTGAGTTAGAAAATATTATTGTATGGTTAGTTTAGTTCAATACTCAGAATAAAATACGACTAAAATGTAGTTCTTAAAGATTTGATTTTAATATGGGAATTTAATTTTTAATTCCAATCTTTGAATATATATAACCGGAATAAATATGGATGATTTACTATAGATACCGCGTAGATTGTATTGCGGGCTAGGACAAGGGACTGTGTGGAAGATGTTGTTGTAGGGCAAAGGACGAACGGGGGACCCCACATGTGCTTTCATGTTAAGTTACGGAGTGTGGTCCAATTCACACATGTAACCAGGGGGACCATGTATTAGGGTCATTGGGCGGCTACTACTAGGGTTTTTCGGCTCGTGTGAGAGAGGCCAAGTGTGTGAAGTTTTGATTTATATTGCTGGGTTTAGGCAGGCATGGAAAGATTTTTGGGATCCGTGAAGCATATTGTGTCCTTTTGTAGAATGATTGGATCCTTCCTATCTTCTTCTTTACCAATTGGTTTTTAAAATTCTACTGCTTCTATAACAAATTACACTTTGCCTTTGGTTAATGAAAATCAAATGAGATCAAACTATTTTATATTTGAAACCAATGTATGTCATATAGAGTATGTTGCTGCAACTCAGAGCAAGGTAATCAGAATTTATATAATGAATATAGATAAACCTTGTCAAAATGGTAAAAACCTTTTAACCTCTGTATTTTATTTGTAAAAACATTCACCAAAATATGAAACTAGATGCAATACTTTATATAGGCAGATAGTATTACTTTTTGTTTTGTATTCACGTATATAATGCTACCAATACTACTATGAACATTGTGGGATAATGATAAACTGAAGTAAATGTAGACAAGAGAGTACAAAAAGCAAGCAGAGTAGGTGAATAAATGAGATGAATTTTGGGGCAGTGAGAATTATAAAGATAAGTAAAAAATGAAAAGAAAGGATTGAAAAGAGAGCAACTGTTAGTTTTGGCTTTATACATGGTCTTCCTTATCTATCTATTTTCATACAAACTTGCAAACCCTTCCTTAAACCTCCTTCTGGACCACATCTCTATCTCTCATCTTTTTTTTTTCATTTCTTCTTTTCTAAGCATTTAATTTTTTTTTTGTGCAACCTAAGAATTTAATTTCCAGATTTCTATTATCATTACTTTAGATCTCAATCTCCAACTGAGATTCTCTGCTTTCCCTCACTAGTACAGTTGTTGTAGACTGTATTCAATTAAATTACAGTTTCGCCCTTGCAGTATCTAGATTCTCCATTTCTCAATATTCTCACCAGTCACCACAGCTAATTAGCAAAAAGAACCAAACCAATGGTTTAATTGATATAACAACAACTACCACATCTGATTAAGGGATTTGATTAAACCTACAAGTCCTGACCAAAACAAGGACTAAGGAAAAAACATAGAAGGGTTTTTTACTTGTTAAGTTAAAACTTGAAAGTAAAACATTTAGAACGAAGGGACAAGATCAGAAACAATGTTGAAATCTAGACCGTCCAATAGGTAGAGACAAATCTGAGCACCAGATATTCTGTGTCCAAGAATAGAAAGCCATTAAATAGGGCTTGTGAATTTTGTATTGTGAGAAAAAATAAGAAAACTGAATAAAAATAATTATAACAGAAGCTATTGTCCCTTTCACTTGTTAGTTGTCTTGTTCTTCAACAAGACACTGCAAGGTATAACAGGGCTGAAAGTACAATACAATTTCGTATTTGCAAATGTGACCCTATATTCTGCCATGTATTGCACTTTCTTAATCTACATTTATGGTTTTTCTTGAGAAGGCTACACTCTTGGGGAGTATGAATGAAGCACATAGCATCCATTTTCCTGGAGCCACAAGTCTAACCTTCCGCATTTTGACGTCCACGGCCACCTCTGATAGAGCAATCCGTATCCTCTGCAAAATTCAAACCCAATCACATTGTGCAAATTAGACATCAATCAATCGTTACATGATAGCATTTGGAGGGGTTTGTTTTATAAGTTTAGACCTCGTGGAAGTCGAATTCTGGATCAGCAGCCTTGGAGAATCCATAGACATGGATGGTTGGGAAAGATAAGTCTTCATCTCTGTGCCTGTCGTTGTATACTCCTCGAAATGCATCTGCTCAAGTAAAGGATTCAAGAGGCATATTCATATGACTATTTGGGTGACTTTGTGTAGAGGCATATTCAACAAACCTAGAGATTCGGCAGCATCTTTGGGTAAATTCATGACTACTTGGGTGACTCTTTGACCCTTGTCGCTCGAAAACATAGCCTTTATGAATCTTCTTCCATCCATGTTAAAGACCTAGACAAAGATAGAAGATTCAGAAAATGTACAAATGGTTTAAAGTATGAAACAAAGTGCTTAGAGTGTTTGTATAAACCTCTATTCTCTTCTCGAGCTTATTGACAACACTATTTTGCTCCATGAATTCTACAGCATGAGGGTTCAGGTCATTGGCGTATACACGTTTTACAATTCTTGCTGCAGCAAGTGCGATTGGACCCACTCCAGCGAAAACATCACCTGTCATTTAACAACAGACTAATATGAAAACCAAACACAACATCACATTGAAAAAATCTAAACCAAAACAATAATACAAATGGTGCAACTAGATATGCTTCTTATGCAACAGAACGTAGCACGATTCAAGACCAGCAATTAAGATATTTTCCAGAAACTGAAGGAACAATGCACCGGCAAGTACTTTTAGTGGGAAATTAGTGGTCCTAAATCATAAGTGGAGAGTTCTATAGAGAGCAATGTCAATATTTGTCATGGTGTACCCTCAAAGTTAGATCTAAGTAGCAAACATACAGACAACGTCATTGTGGTCGAATCCAAGCAGAAGTC